GGGGGGCAGAGGCAGGTGCCTCCTGCATGACCACCAAACTTAGAATCTGCTCTCAGCCAGACAATGAATTCTGGAAGGATGTGGGCTCTTGCGTCTGAGACAAAAGCAGGTGGTGGAAGCTCTGAGCAGCCCTCTGCCTCTCTGTGGGCACTCTGTGAATGGGCATGGCTCGAATCCATGCAAATTCTACTGTCAGCTGGGGGAGGGGCTGGCAGGTGCAAGGTCCCTTCATGTGAACTCAGTGTAGATACACTGGACCCTCACAGAGAACCCTCAGGAAAATAACTGTCTCTATAACACAGTTATGAGTCACAAACTGCAATGCCTAGAATGTGTCAGAAAGGAGACTTTAGATGTAGGCAACCGAATGTTAAAACCAACACAAGCAGATGTCAAGTGATTACTAGGTGTCTCAGTTTGAGAAAATGCTTTAATTCTACTAAGGCTTACTCTTGCGATCAATTCCACCCCTCTTTCTCCATTCAGCCTGCAGGATGGGGGGGAGGGTATGAAAACAAAGGACTTCTAACTGGAGTCATCTCCAGGATCAGCATACTCCATCAATGGGCTCTCTGGCCACAAGGCACAGATTTTAGAAAACAGACAAAACAGAAATGATAACAAAAGATGACTGACCTTTGCCCTGTGTTTGGCGGACTGCGATGGCTATTAAACCCATTTCCTGTGGCATCTCAAACATCAACCTGCAAATGGTGGGAAAGACTGGTCAGCCAGAACAGGGACATGGGCAGGAGATCCTTTAGCACAGACAAAGTGGGGACACTGTTTACACTCATTTGTGAACATGTGGGTAAGGAAGGGCCGCCTTCCGGCTTTCAAGCTCATACCCCATCCTCAGCCTCTGGGAAGACTGAGGCGGGGGAGGCATGTGTACCAGCCTGAGCTGCTAAACAGTTTATTTAAGACGTTGTTAGACTATATTTCTTGGGAATATCCCATCAAGTTCTTTCTGGTGTGGCGTCCCTTCTTCGAGTGACAACTAACAATTCCTGACATTTGTTTCTACTTACAGTGCATTTCTGTTCGAACCCTAGAACATAATCATAACAGAAGTTTCTGATTATTCAGAAAACCAATATGGTGGCAATAAAGCCGTTTAAAAGATACACTCTCCCCTGAGAACTAATTATGTTTTAACTATAGTAAATAAATCTACACCTTCTGAGAACTCAGAGAACCTTGGGTCACTTTAGGCTTGAGTTCTGCTTTTAAAATGGTCTCATTTAAAAGAATACAAACTTCCCTTCGGGGGGATAGGTAGAAAAGTGCACTGTATCTCCACCAAACGAGGCAACAGTAACTTTTTTCTGAAAAAGAAAGAGGGGGGAAAAAACCCTCTCTGCGAATTTCCTCCCAGCTACGTTTTACATATGTTAACTCTGTGTTAGGATGGTTTTCCTCTGCACTCCCAGGAGCTGCTGACCAGGTATTAAGCAGGCATAGTTCATGGAAGGATTTATTAAAGCAAAAATCAGGTTTGCCCACTGTCAGGGCAGCTGCTGGGGCCTCTTTGAATACTTTTTGGCGGAAGGAAGAGGCAAAGGCACAGATGAGGGAAAGATGGTATTCTGTATAAACAAAGTTTCCCATAATAGTTTCCAGGGTTCCAAAGCACCCCCGTGCCAAGGAGAAAGGGCCCTAAAGAAAGTCCACACTCTGAGTAGCTCTTCCTCCTCTCCTCTAGGCTCAAGGAATGTGTGGAACTTTACAAATGGTAAGAGAAGAAAAATACTTAAAAGCAGAGAAAAATAACACAGTGTCTCTGTGCACCCCTGGGAGCTGTGCACTGGTGTTTGCAGGCCCCGGGGAGGAAGAGCCCCGAGACACCTTTTCTTGCTGAAAGAGCTGGGCCCGACGGGTAGAGGCCAGTTGGGCTACAGGCACAGCGCTCCCAGCAAGCAGGCCACCTGCCTGCAGGCCAGGCCTACTTCCATCTCCCATGAAATACAGCTCCAGAGGTATTTCTCTTGGACACCATGAATAACCCATTGAGATCGACGGTGCCTAGACACCGTCAGGCTCCAAGAAGGAAGTGTCCTTTTCTTGTGTTGGACTGACAGAAAGGCCTAAGAAGGAGGCTTTGTCTGTGAAGGGAGGTAAATTGTCTTCCAGCCACCTCTGCTTCCCAGAGGGCCCTGCAGCCCTTCACCTGGGCAAGGCCATGGGCTCTCAGGAGGGGCTAACAAACCTCTATGGGAAGGGGGTGATTTAGCACATTGTGAGCACACTGAGGCGGCACTCTCCATGCCAGGCAATCTAGGATGTTCTTTAAACAGACATTAGACACTTCATGTGCTGTTGCCAGCGACGGTGACGGTGGGATTGGGGGGTAGGGGGTGGGGGATATTCAGAAACCAAACACAGACTTCTAGAACAAAGAGAAATGATTAAGGGAACATATGCACTAAACTGCTGGAGGCTTGGCAGCAGTTAACAGGGCATATTGATGAGAAGACTAGGTTTGTGCCGCTGAAGGCCAAGAGGAAACGGCGAGGAGGGAGACGAACGGGGAAGGGGGCAACGCTGAACCGGAGACAACTGGAGGCCGCCAGATTTATTTGTGCATCTGAGATAACTCTGGGGGCCAAACCACACGGCCACAGGCAACAAAGAAGCATTTATGAACCTTGTAAACGGTGCATCTCTCCAAATGAAGTCGCGAGTCTGCTTTAGCAGCAAGGAGGCACCGTAAATGCATTTCCATCCAGGCTTGATGATATTCTCACAAAAGGAAACAGAAAAGGGACAAAGAAGAGGGGCCTGCACCGACCCCACCCTGCTGCTGGGTGCCTTCTTTCCCTGTGGGCGAAGGCTGGGGAGTAAAAGGTTTCTCCAAGGGGCAGCCGAGTGCGCTCACTGTAGTACCAGCTGGGCTACAAGGAAAGCGTTGTTTTTGTCTGCAAACAGGACAGTGTCCTGGCCACTGAGATTCCTAAGGACATCACAGGACCTACTGGGGGCTCTGCCAGCGGGAGCGTCCTGAATTTCATGTGGTCGCTGGAATAAAACTTCAATAATTAAGACTAACCTAGAAGACAGGCCAGTATGAATTAGTGAAAATTCTGAAAGAATAATTATCTAAATTCATACCCAGTCAATCCACTTTGGGGACCCAAACCTAAGGAAATAGTCGACATTCATCATAGTGCTATACAAGTAAAAATTTGTAAATAACCTAAGGAATTCAGCAGGGGGGTGGTTATGTTATTATGGTACATGAAGTCAATGGAATAATTTGTAGTCATTAAAAATCATAGTTATGAAGACTGTAGAACATGAATGAAATGCTTGCAATAGAACCTTAAATTACAAAAGTTTGATATAAAAACTACATACACTTTTACTCCAACTATGTAAAATTCATACAAAAGGGATGAGATTTGACAAAAGCTCTTTTCTTTCTTTTTAAACTTTTCTTTAACATGATTAGTTACCTTTAAAATCATTTTGAAAGTTTTTTGGGGAAAGCAGGATTTTATGTTCAGATATATTTGTAATTAACTATTCATAAGTACTACTAAGAACAGGACTAAAAGATCTGCTTTAAAAATAAGACAGTAACAGTTATCTGTAGCCCCATTGTATTATAACCAATGAGTAAGAGCTTATTTGATAGTAATTAATGAGCAGAAATCCATACAGCCAGTTTTTCGTATGCAATGAAATCCTTAAAAATGTTATGCCTTCTCACCTGGTGACTGTACTTCTATGATTAAAGCCTAAGAAGTATTCAGACAGGGAAACAAAAGGATCTGGGGCACAACTACTCATCACAATATTACACCGTGAAAAATCAGAAACAATACCAATAGTCAATGATCATGGTAGGGGAGTTTTGAAAAAGCATCACAGCAGCCCCGCACGAAAGAGTCAATGCACCACCGGCGATGTGGGCAAAAGGACACCACGAGGTGATTTGATCAAAAGCCTATAGACAGCATGACTTCAATGATGTTTAAGATACACATTTTAAGTTCTTAGGAACTATAGCAAAATATTAGTTGCAGTTATTTTAAGGAGTATAATTATTCGAAAAATATGGATAAGTACAAGGCAGAAAATAAGCCATCCATAGAAGTCCTTCTTGGAAATTTACCACCCAGAGATTACACAGAACAGAAAGAAGACATTCAAATCATCATATAATTCTGTCTTTACCTTCTGGAGATTCCCACTGTTATTGTCTCCTCTTCTTATTAAAGGTATATATTCTTTTACACTTTTTCCCCCATTAATAAAACATGCATAGATATATTTTACAAAATACATTTATGACAACTGTAAAAATTCATTATTTGAGGTACTAAAAATGATGCTGATACACAGTTGTGGACTTTCTTATTTCATTGGTAATTAATAAGAAAGGCTTAAGAACAGTATCACTGGTCTCATTTATGCAGGCTCTGTACTGCTATGTGCATTGATAGGAGAATCCAGGGCACACGCTAGTGGCGGCTGTCTCCAGAATGTGGAGGCATAATTATGTGACGATTTCAACATTTTTTGTGTTGTTCTATGTAATCTCTGGGTAGAAGAATTTCAAGTGGTTTTATTTTCTTTTTTATACTTTTCTGAATTTTCTAATATTCCTGCACTTGGAGTACATTCATTTTATAACCAGGAAATAGGCTATTAACAGAGTTATGTAAACCCAGCTCTTCTTCAAGTAGGTTATGCACGCGTCCACCAGCTCACTAGCTGGTGAGTAAACTCCTCCATTCCAAGAGATCACAGACTCGCAATGCAAAGGCCACCAACTGTCCGAGCTTTCACAGGCTCACTGCACACATCCTCCTATAACTCACACGACATGCCCGTCCCTTGCACTGGGTGCCTGGTGGAGCATGTGGCCTCTGCAAAGGTGGCAGGCTGAATCTGGTTATGGTCCTCGCACAGATGCCTCTGGGCTGGGGAGATGGCAAGGAGGAGATGGCCTGCATGCAGCTGCCGGCATCCTATTTTAGTCTTTGTGAGCCATATGGTCTCTGCTGCAAATATCCTCCCCTGAGGCCCCAGCCCAAAAGAAGCCCTTGATAATATGTAAATGACCAAGTGTGGCTGTGTTTCAGTGAAACTGTAGACACAGAAATGTCCATTTCATATATGTTCATGTGTCACAATATAGTATTTTTTTGAATTACTAGACTTTATTTTTTGAGCTTTAGGTTTATAGAAAAACTAAGCAGAATGAACAGAGTTCCCTTCCCATACACCCAATCTCCCCTCAGTTTCCCTATTATGAATACCTCATATTAGGGAGGGACATCTGTTATAACCGGTGAGCCAATATTTGTTCAATACCAACACACAGAAAGTGGTGGCCTAACTCTGACTCACCTGGTTAAGGTGCAGGGTGCCAGGTTTTTGCACTGTGAAGTTACTGTTTTTCTACTGTAATGAATAAATACTTGGGGAAAGGTAAATGTCTCTCATAAAATTTAATCTACTAGTTTTGCATCTGTGAATGAGTCTTGCTTGACTCAATTATTTATTTGATGATAGCCAAACAGTGGTTTTCTGATTCCATCATTTTTTTCATATTTACTTGTTGAGATAGTACTGTGAGAGCTCTTTCTTCTCCCCACTTATTTATCTTTCTAATTACCTATTTATATCAGAATAGACTTAGGGATGCTTACTCAATAGGTTATACACTTTCCTATCATTATTTATTTTGAAGCAC